TGCTTAGTTTGGGACTAGAAGCGCAGTGTAAAGGTCCAAAGATATAAGCTTAAACACTTTCATTACTGTGCTTTCATCGTCTTCACCATGTAAAAGTACGTGACAATAACGAAATAACATTTAATAAAACAAACAAAGACAATGTCCTGTACAAGATTTCTTATGCAGACGAACCCTCATTATCCAATTGAACAAATTTGGGACTTGGCCCGATGATAATGCACATAAAGTTGGGAGTAAAGTTAGGAATAATGTCCTTCGAAGAGGATTTCCGCTTGAGTTGAATGTTTCAAGTTAATTATCAAGTATAATTTCGTTCTTCAAACATATTATAATGAGATCGTTAAAACTTAGACTAGTTCTTTCATGTTGCGGCTAAATGTAGATACAGGACCTGGATATACTTTTTCTTAAAAATCTAGTTATTAAATATAGAGCTAAACAACTTAACGAGGACTTTAGAGGCTGGGACTCACGAAGTCGGTCCATAATTTCGACCTTTTTAGTAGTATTTTCTTCAGATTAATTTATTTCCAAGTTACCTAAGCGGGATAATTATTATGTCTTAGGACTAAGTTCGCTTTCACTAATTGACACATAAGATGGTGTCGTTCGCATTGGGAATAGTTCCGTTAAAAAAACGATAACATACCTAACAATGATTGATGGGAAACACTTCGATGCGGGCAGCGCAAGGGTGCTCATTGAGGAAATCCTTGAAGGAGGCCCTTGTACAACAAATCGTTTTTTGATTAAAAAGAAAGAAGATAAGGTGAGTATCAAAAACCGTAAAGGATCCAGAATTTCTGAAAATTTGGTCCAACATGATTATGAACTTTTTTTATGCATAACAAGGCAGGTATTTGACCACAATCGCACCTGGTGTTAAGTGGAATGCAGTCTAGGATGGTACCTACATGTATCTGCCCTGTAAGTGCCTATTCACTCTCGCCTTGAAAAGGCCTGGGTTACCTACACTTACTTACTTTGAAGTTACAAAATTCTTTTATTTGTCGCCTAATTCCAAAGAATGATAGTAACATTCACGGCATACCAACACGATATTGTCTATCCAACCTATTTGGCTCCACCATGACATCAATGCGGGAATAATTTTCGGAATTGGTACGCTCCTAACGAGCTCAAATGGTTGGTGGCTCGCATCAAATAGCTGCTGGATGGTTCTCTCTCTGTTATGCTTTTAAATAATCGTTATGGCACATAGATAGAGGGACAGGCTGCTTTCATATGCTGTTCAGATAGTAAGGCCACATTACTATAGTGCATTCGCGTTAAGAAAATAGTAATTTTAGTTAATACAACGCCGTTTGGCCGATTAGGTCATAGTTTTTTAAATTAGATAGCTGTACGGCTAGCACGAAAATCTTTCGAGTTCGAATCGTTCGCGTATTCGAATTGCCATCAAAAGATTTAGTACGCTGTATGTAGTTTGTATAATAGGAAGAATTTCAGATTAGGTAACGGTTTTTAAGATAATGTTACAAAAATAAAGTAAAATTTTGTTAAAATGCACCTGAACATTTCTGGATTTGAAGTAGCATTTTTCACTTGTTAGAAAACTTTGGACATTCGCGAGTTTTTCCACCTAACCTGGGGGGACTTTTTTATACATACTATTGTAGTTCTAGTTGTTTATAATCCAGCCCTCTCTCGAACACTCGAAACATTCTCCCTGTATAATAAAATATTTAAATAGAGAAGTCCTTGAAACGACGCAATCAGGGTCATATCCTGTTTAATAGCAACATCACTCTAAATAAAAAAAAAGAACTAGATTCCCATAGCAGTCGTTGTTAGAACTGTGTCAATCAATGGCATAGTGATGTGACACTTCTTGTGTATGACACCGGAATAAGTTTGACATTGCTGAGTAGAAGTTTCGACGCGTACTTGACTACTTAGTCACTAATTCCACGATTTCCAAGACAAGTCAAGGTAACACAGCTACGCTTCAATGACTACAAAAACCGTGATAATTGTGCACATACTTGTTAGGTGTAGTGTCTACACTTATTTGTGTCTATTTTTGAACACACTTTTATATTTAGGTAGACTTGGTGTTGATTCTTTGACGAAATAAAAAATATAGAGGTCTCTTTCATCATTATTTATGTCAAATTAAAATAAATGTACCATTACCAACTAATTTAATCTACTTAATACTAATTCAGCCACTTTTTATGTTCAAAGGAGTAACTTATTTCAATCAAATGATTTGATAAATAAATTATGTAAAAAAATAATAATGAGACTTGAACTTTCGCTTGTTGATTAGGTAACTCTTCTCTCATTTCGACTTAAAGACAATGATTTTTCTAAGTATTAACTATGTATAATGTAATGATGTACCACTAATCAATGCATGCATTTCCCTCTCAGCCAATTGTGAATAGGTTTTTGTAAGGCTTCCTTCCCACAGAGCAATCATCCCTCAGTAGTACGGGTTCATTATTGATTGCTGCTACCAATTGCCCTTTGACGGGATATGCTAACCACAAAAATGACGATAAGCGTACAGGTTTACTTTAAACTTCCTTCTACAGCATGAATTGACTATACTTTTGTGTAAAAGCGCTTTTTAAAAGCTTAATTTTAAAATGTTGACTTTAAGCTTATAAAAACCACTTTTCCTATAAATCGATGAAATAATAATAAATAATTAATATCCTTGGACATTTTACACTGCGCTTCTAGTCCCAAACTAAGCAAAGCTTGTACTATGGGTACTAGACAACGGATATAAACATACTTAAATACTTTTTTTTTTTTGTAAATACATACATATTACTTATACATAGAAAACACCCAGTCCAATACAAACAAATATGTTCATGCACACAAATGTTTGTACTGTGCGGGAATCGAACCCGCAACCTCCGGAATAGTAGTCTGTTTCGAACCACTACACCAAACGGCCGACGAAATGATAGTAATATTATTTTCTTCTAGTGTTGCTTTGAAAGGATATCTAAACGTAGGTATTACCTATAATAACTAACTTATATTAATAGTATTAGGTTATTATTCCAAAAAAATTAAGTAGGTAGGTACTCTACGTAAGATAAGGATGTACAAAGAACGTAATAATTGCAATCATCTCTTGGTATTACAAGTAGAGTAATAATTATGCTCAATTATTAACCTCTATTTTCTCAAAGAAAGATCTGTGGCTAAATTACTGTTGTTATTATTTTTACTCCCACAGTTTTTCTCGAGAAAGGTAACTAAGATGATCGTAATACATATTTCCGGGAATAATAACTAGTAATGGTACAGCTAACATAAGAATAAAAGCTGATGGTTTCTTAAAAGGTTGACCTTGTACTCGTATATTTATAGAAAGATTGTTTATCTTATAATGATCAGAAATCTCTCATGATTAGTTTTGTATGAAGTCGACATCCTTCTACACATGTTTAATATTAATATATTATTATCTTTATCATAATTAATCGTACACGTGTTATTTTAACCTGTAGGTAAGCGATTACGGTAGAAAATAAGGAAGCTTCCTGATATTAATTTCACTGACAGGGTAATAAATATCCGGTAATCACGTGCGTACATTTAATTTTCTCCCGTGAAAAAATACTTCATGGAACATACTCGTTTTACTCGTATTTAAGAATATTGAGTTTGGTAATATATTATTATTTCATTTAGATAATGTAATGTTTATGCTGTGGTAAAAATTAAACCATTGTAATGAATGCAAAATAATTGTCTTTACTTTGTTACTTCAACTGGTCAATGTGAACATAGTTCCTCTAGCATGAACAACTTTCGTCTTCGAATCGTTTGCTTATTCGAAAAAATTCGATACTCAACCTTCGAATTAAACGATAATGTGACAATATTGATTCTCAAAATAAGTTTCGTGCAACCATTTCTCATACTAAACTTCACTTTACGACACGTTCACAAGGGCGCTGTTGTAGTTTTTGTAAGTAGGTATTAATTAACTGGATTAAGTATACGCTGTAGAACCTTATGGGTAAAGATTTTGCTGTTCAAATTACATAGGTACATTGACATCAAACTTGCTGAAAATATAAAACGATTCACTAGATTTTCACTATTACCCATAGCAACACATTACCGTAAGAAGCATGTATCCTAGCTCCTGGTCTACGATCTGGAATGAGCGTGTATCTACAACAATTTCGTAACTATTAAGTCGCTTTGTTCTCGGCAGACGCACGCTGAGACTAAACACGCCGCGAGATTATCTACTCATTATACTGTCATACAGACGCCATTGACGACTAGTTACTTACTAGTTTATGTTCTGAATAGTTATTTATGTTTGTATTGGACAAAAAAAATTATGTGATAATATTGCAGGTAAATATTAAAAAAAAACTAAATTTTGTACAAGAAGTATTGATTATAATGACGGTTTTTATCAGTAATTTGAAAGTACCTACTACCTAACTCTATAATTAATAATCTTAAAAACGACTTCACTTATCATCATGCATAAAAAATGTCTCTCAAGTCTTGGATTGTTGATAAGCTTAGTATTTATTTTCTTCATCAATTTTATTTCAGTAAACTTTAATTTTAAAACAAATAAAGAAATCTCCATTGTTTGTGTAAATCATTGACACTTATTGCAATATCTACAATGCTATTGTTTTAATTTAAAAAATATATTTTAAGTTTAATGCCATTTTCACAAACCACGACATAAAAATTAACTGGCGTTTGAATTTGTAGCTTAGTTATATTAAAACCTGGACGAACTAAAATGAAGTAATAAAGAAACTTACTTAATATGTGCCTTAATTATTCAAAAAGACCGGCTTTTTAAACTGAAATTGTTATTAAAATTTACTCTCCGAGTGAAGTTTAATTTAATAGGGATACACAATAGACACACATAAAAAAAATCTAATAACGGTAGTTAATTTTGTCATTAAGACAAATTACACAATTACCCAAAAATACAAAATTCAAGTAATAAAGTCACAACTCACTTTCCCACACCAAAACAGCAATCGCGAACGAAATAATGGCTTCTCGCTTCATGATCATCAACTAATAAATTACAAAAACAAACACAAAATATTTTTTCAACAAAAGAACTCGTTGTCCATGCTACTTTCGCGCCTTTTTTATTCAAATGCGTTCGAAATTCGGATCGAGAGCGTTCCGAAACACGTCCTAATTGATTTGTGTTTTTGGTCTGTAACGCGGATGCGGCAAAGGCGTGTTGCCCGCGCCACTTGCTCGTTAACTGTATGTTCAGAAATGGGCCGCACAGTGGACTGTAAACATCACGCTTATTTTTAGAGGTCTCCATAATAGAGCGGAATGTCATTCTTTATGGTGCAGCAACCGTTGGCTGTAATAGAACAACGCCTTTGAGTGAGCGTTCACCGTAGGAGGTAATTACCAATTCAAGTAATTGTGGTGACAGCTTAGCATGTGCAATTTGACTAAATTAACATAGGATTATATGACAGTGTCCGTTAGCGTTAGAATTGTTTAGTTTCTTATGCTAGTCTTGGTCTTGCAAGAGTTTAATTCAATTAGGTACTTACTACAGCTAACATAAAAAAATGGCTCAAACAGTGTAGAGCATAAACAGAAATAGAAGAAGTTTATTTATCCATGAGAATCGGAATGTCAGCTGGGCTAGGATGCGCGCCGTGATAACTTTTATCGACGTCAAAATGTATGGGCAAAATCGATAAAATGGCATAATAACCGCTTATCGCGGCGCGCATCCTAGGCCTACAGTATTAGGTAGGGTACCTACGATAAATCAAACATTTTTTATCCTCGAATTACAAGATCAACCCCTTAGTGGTTATTAAAATAATTTATGATCCAACTTCACAAACGTCTGTGGCGTATTGTTCTTTATCTATCTACTTAATTTTCATTCACTTTTAATGTGATGTTATTTTGAATTTTTTCATTGTTCGTTACCCTTCCGCGAATCTAAGGGGGAATTTTCCGAAAATACTGTAAGGTATCATGTCTTCCTGGTTGTCTATTGGTCGAAGGATGCGATTCCATGCAATTTAAATAAATTGCAATGCAAGATTTTGAAACTAGATGGTTTCAATTTATTTAGGTATTACCTATACCTAATAATGTTATGATAACAGAGTAACATAGAGTATTTGTGTTACGTAAATATCGTAATGTGCAGAGAAGAGTTTATCCAAAATTCCGTGTAGGTATTTCATTTCAGAGAATAAAAGAGTTTCTAATCTACTTAATTGAATTTGATAATATTTTCATACAAGATTATACCTACTAAAATATCATTTTACTTCATGTAGTTACCTCAGTTTTAATGTAGCTGCTGTAACTTAGTCCGGTCATTTTCACTTTCAATTGTAAGGAATTGTTTTTATGTTGTTAATGAAATTGATGTAGCTTGTGTGCATTGATTGCCCTTGCAATTATATCCCCAAAAACAGTAACAGTTTGGAATATTCCCTATTCCCTATTCCCGAAAACTTTTTATCGCCTAGCCAACTCGTCACACCACTGAACGCCGACCCTAAGCAATGGCGATGAAACGCAACGTGTTTTGTCTCCCCGCTTAAATAAATCGCATCTTATTACTAAAAGAACGCCATTAAAAGGCAGCAAAGGGTTGGGAGAGCTGCGTTGCTTAATCGTCTGTTTGAACGCATTAATGTATTAATCGCGGGCTGCGATGGTTCTCGAAATCGCGGGTAAACAGTAAGCCTGGATGACGATGCGTTTTATTCGTTTGATTTCGCTTACTTAACTACATTGTTTTGTTTTACTTGTGCATTGATTTGGGGTAATTAGTGAACAAAAAGAGACTCAGGAGAACTGATAAAAAAAAATGTATTTAGAAAAATCACCGAATATTTTCATTTACATAGGAAAATATACTAATTTTTAAGCATTAAAATACTTTTGGTACATGAAAATAATGGCAGATACCTAAAATTAACTTTGACAACAATGTAAAAAAGCCGAGGTTATGTCGACTGATAAGAAAACAGATATCATAGCTTTTTGTAAACATACAGTTGAGGATTCTGAGTAATGCTCGCTACCACCTTCAGTGTGATTATAATTTTCCATCAAGTAGCCAAAAGCTTCATCGTTATAGATACATAATGAAAAATAAATCTTACAGTAGTATATTCCTAAAGACGCGTTTTGCTACGCACGATTGATGAATCAATAACAAAGTAATTTTCCTGGTGTGAACCAAAATCCAGTATCATTTGTTAACATTTTGCGCAATAGTTTGTCAAACTCTTGGCCAAATGTTTGGGTGCCTAAGGCGTTTACCCACAATTAGGGGGCGGTGGTCAAAGGATCACTAAAAGGGAAATTGTTTTTCGTCGTGCTTTGCTTCATTTCCCCAAATTATCCGCTTTCACTTCCATTCGGAATGTTATTTCGGGTAAAGGTACGCTTACTTCACCAATAACGTATTAAAAAGGTAGGGAAATCGTTTGTTTGGATGTAATTAAGTTTATATTAGAACAGATCAGATTATAAAATCTTTTCTTCGATATAAAGCTTTGATTCCAGATTCAGACCTGATTTATATTTTATGATGCCAGAGCGTTATTAAATCATGGACTTATTGTGGAAACGCTGGCAGACAGTAGAATCAGATAAGACAATAACAGATATTTTATAGTTTTCGATTCGATTATTTGAAGCCTTTTGATAAGGCACGACTATAAATTCTCATACAAGGATATCATATTACGCTCATTTGGAGTCAGACAAACCTACAAGGTAAACTGTTAGGCTGAGTTGCACCACCTAATTTTGACCGTAACTTTAACGATAACCGGTGTTTTTGTATGGAGTTTGACAGATTTTTGACGTTTGTCAAAGTTAAAGTAAGATGGTGCAACCCAGCCTTAGATAATAATTAATATGTTTCTTTTACAGAATCTAAGCATAACTCAATCCTGAGACAAAATATCCCAAGTAATTATTAACCACCGCTAAAGAAACTCGACTGCATAAAAGAACCTCTATTGCATCTTTCGCGTTTCATTTTAATATACTCGTAGATGCACAAGCGAAATGCAATGTCGCATATGACCATGCAGCAATCATCTTGTTGTAAAACATTACGTTATTAGGCATCCACTAATTAATTCGACTTTATTAATCCAAGGGTCAGCGAAAATTATTTAATTGCTCTCATGACCTCAATAGAGAAAGAGCTGGATCGTACAATGTTTGGTCAACTTTTATGGGAATTAAGGCCTAATGGCAAGCATTACTTTTTACGAGCATTACCTGATCAAATCTCGTGGACTTGGCTCTAGTGAAGTCTTAAAAACCTTGATTATTTTCTAGCTTCATGCAAGTTACGTATATTTGCGAAACATAATAAGTTTAAGGCAAGCCAAAATTCGGCATTTGAACATCTAACTCCCACTTATTTAATGTGTCTTTTTTGTTCCCAGAATGACACGTGCTTATTAATAAAATTCCATTAATCACATGATCTGGGCCTATACAGACAAAACAAAAAGTACAATAGCAAACAGATAACGGATAAAAATACTTTACATACATACGAAGCTTATACGAAGGTATAAGCGATGCCCTAAAAATTCAGAGTCTGAAATTCAGACTACACGTGGAGAGGCTTTAGGTACTCAATAAAATTACTTTTTCATAAGATTAATGGTTTTCATCCATCAAAGCTAACATCTATAGTCATAGACTAAGCAGCCAGCCTATTTGAGAAAAGTGTATTTCCGAAGAATTTACCTCTTTCCTTTGCAATATTTATACCTCATGGAAAAGATTGACTTACTTCCTGCAGTAATGTTCGCGGTCGGGGGAAAATATGTTTTCGAACGGAATAAGAATATTTTATAAGAAGTCTTTGTTCTTTTCAGCTTAGTAAAGAATATTATAGTTATTACAGTTAAGTCCGGAGCGTCCCATCGACTTTGGAGTTCCTCAGGGTAGCGTCCTTGGGCCTATTCTCTTCAATCTTTACCTGAACGACATACTTAAACTGCAATTGAAAAACGCTAACCTCATAGCCTATGCAGATGACACAGCTATCTTGTTTCACAGCGACGACTGGAAGAGCGTTTACGCTATTGCTGAGGAGGGTCTCTCCGAGGTAGCAAAGGCTTTCAATAATAACTTACTTACTATGAATGTCACAAAAACCAAATACTTGGCCTTCTCAAAAACCATTGTGGCTAGCCCACCTGCCTCTTTGACCCTCCGAGTGCATAGCTGTTCATTGGGACAAAACTCAAACTGTTCTTGTGGCAACATTGATCGCACCTCTACAATGAAGTATCTTGGAGTTACACTGGACGAAAACTTAACATACAAAACGCATATATCGATACTCTCAGGCCGGGTAAGGAAACTAATCTTTGTTATGAAAAGACTCAGAGACTGTTCCCCGCCAGACATTCTTAAAACAGTATATATCTCCCTGTGTCAATCAATCATACAATACTGTATTGCTGTGTGGGGCAGTGCTGGTAAAACCTTCTTCATCCAGCTGGAGCGAGCTCAACGTGCTCTCATCAAGGTCGCACTGAAGAAACCCTTCCGTTTTCCCACAGACGACCTTTACAGGGAATTTGGCGTACTACGGGTAAGACAATTATTTGTCTTATGTGCTATGATCAAGACGCATAGAAGCCTACAATCTCACCCACACTACACACACACACACACACACACACACACACACACACACACACACACACACCAGATATATAGTTAATAAGTTTAAATTAATTAAATTAAGCAAAGTAATATGTTTTAAAATACTGCATGCAATCTGTAACTTGCTCAATTTCCAAGAACGCCTCGTTTTGATAACTGCACTCTCTGAAACCCAAGATACAAGCTATACTGCTTAGTTTGGGTCTCACTGGTAAATATTTAAATATGTTAATATCTAGTGCATAGTATAAGTACATTGTTATTTAAGTCAAGAATATGTACCTATATCTTTTTTGGAAATAAAATATTTATTTATTTATTTATTATTATTATAGTGTTTTGATACCATCAAAGCGAAATCTTAACGGGGTTATAAGTTAGCGTGCTTCGGAGATTTACCCGAGTTGGTAAATGTTAATGTTTTGTTCCTTTGTCACGCTTAATCTGGTTTTGGTAATGGTGTTTTAATATTTTATGAAAGGGAAAAATGTAAAATGTTTGGTTTTTGAAACGGTTTGTCAATGTTGAATTGCTAGGATTTAAAAGAC